GCTCACTCGGAAGCNTTGAGATGCCTTCACGTGACATGATATTCTTACCAAGTTTCAAGAAGACTGGTACAGGTGTTCAAGGAAAAGTAACGTTTCTTCTCAGTTATTTGAAAGGTTCTGATGTTGCTGTTCTTGAGGGGGGATATATGAATGGGCTCAGGTGCCATGATATACCTACTNCAGTAAACCGAAATGAAACGGAGGTAGGTAGACCACGGCCCAATTTGGAACTGTAGCACCAAAATAAAAAGAAAATACAAGTAAACTGAGTTCATTACTTCAATACTTAATTATGTTTATTTTTCTGTGGCGCTACGGCCCCAGTTTTGGCCTAGGCCTACCTCCATGAAACTCTCCGTTTCACTTCGGTTTACTAGATCTTACACATTCGGTNTTCAGTAACATTACGGACACTACCGCAACAATTTGGGAGGCTATAAGACTGTTATTAAGAATGGGAGGGATTTATGATGTACGCCGTTGAGATTGAGTCATATGACATGATATACAAACCAAGTTACATGAAGACTCCACCGCGGTGGCCCGGGTTCCATCCCGGGTCTTGTCAAGTGGGATTTGTGGTGGGCAAAGTGGCGCTGAGGCAGGTTTTCTCCGAGTACTTCAGTTTCCTCTGCCAATCTTCATTCCACCACTTGCTCCACAATCATCCTCACCTATCATCAGGGGCTGGAACAATAAGCCAGAAGTGGCCGCAGTACAAGGGGCTTAGTCCCACGCCACTAGCAATAAAAAATAGGTTAGTAGCCACTGGCAGGAAATAGAGAATTTTGTTGCGTGGCGTGGTACATGCCGGGTCATTGATTGGTCGGACTGTCACACAACATGCGAGCGGTTTTATAGTGAGGGCTAGAAAACACACAAGATATGATCCCCTTCCCTTACCTCCTTCCCAGATACGGTGTTCGGTTACAACAGCTCGTGACGTGAGTGCCCGACGTGTATCTGGAACATAACCGTGGAAAATGCCCCCGCTAACATCAATATTGCTACAGAAAAGAAAGTCAATTCAAAAATTGGTCAAAATAAGACAAGTGGGTCATAAAATCATCCTTATTAAAACTGTAAAATCAGAACAAGGTTACGTTTCCGAACATAAGAGTTTTTATTGGGTGGTGTAACGAAATACTGAGTTAAATAAAATAATTCACAAATACAGAAATTTGTTTCTTTCCTGCAGAAAAGTGACATATGGCAAGTTAACACAGTTTTCCGTACTCACGACTTCACGGGCACGAAATCAATGAAACGATGGGAACACAGTACGACCAACTACCTCACGTGGCCGCGCCGTAGCTCAAGCGGTTAGTCGCTGGCTTCCCACCGCGGCGGCCCGGGTTCCATCCCGGTTCTGGTCAAGTGGGATTTGTGGTGAACAAAGTTGCGCTGGGGCGGGTTTCCTCCGAGTACTTCGGTTTCTCCTACCAATCTTCATTCCACCAAATTCTCCATCATCATAATCACCCTGGGCAGCCTACAATAGGTCAATCAGTGATCGCCGTGCCGAGTGGACCCAGTTGGATTCCACCGCACACCAATCGAATTAAAAAAAAAACTACCTAACGTACCTGATGTACCCGCCCAACCCTTCCCGCCCTCCTTCCCTCTCTCTCTCTTCAGTGGGATAGAACACTCT